TGTTAGTTTGTTCAAACCAAACCCTCTGTGCTTTAGAGGAAACAATTTACTACTTTAGTAAATAAACACAGCTGTTAAGAAGTTAAGATTAGACTGTCAGATTCATCGTCGGCTGAGTAAATGATGGTGTACAGGCCTTCACTATCTGCAGAAGTGAAGATGCTGGAGTATGACTGAAGTATGGGAAAAAAAGGAGATTAAAAGGCAGATACAACAGATGATGCATTGGGACCACAGTCCTTTCAACCGATGGGTGGATGGAGTGCGCTTCCAGGGTAAAGGCTGCTGCTGCTGCAGCAGGAGTGTGCATGTGGATGTACAGGGGGGGAAGGGGAGAAAACTTCGGACTTCATGGAAAGCACCAACTTGGCAAACCAACAGGGAAACTTCCACAGGCACAGCTGTTGTTGGAGATTGGGGCCAGCTACTGTGTGCTTAAAGACCTTCCTCTCATTCCCTTGCATTAGCTTGTCTGGCAGGAGTGCTGCCTGTTCCCGCTGTTCTAACACCTGGGGCACAGCCCACAGCCATTAGCATTAAATGCAGGATCTAAAGGGATGCCTGTACGATTGGTACCAAAGGCAGCCGCCTAAACAACAACAAGAGGTGTATTTGAGCAATGACACATTTTGCCCCTTTCATCCATAAATGTCACACCCCAGGAGGGTGGAAGGCATTTTTCCCTCTTGGTATTATAGATAGGGTGGCTAGCTGCTGGCCCCATGAACGTCAGTAGCCAAATCTCTGAGAACTTCAGTACAACAAAATTTTCATCCTTGTCTCTGTGACTTTGGCTTTAAAAATTCATTATAGATATTTGGTGTGACCTGTACCTCAGACAGTGGTTGCAATTCTTCATTAAAATCCACTGTTTTCCTGTCATTTTTCAGTGGTGTCCCGCTAAAATGTGTTGTAACTTTTCCTGAAGCCAATACCATGGTTTAAGTGCATGTTTTAAGTTTTGTTTATTCTATTTTTCATCAGTCCAAGAGACTCTTTACATGTTCCAGTAGCTGCCTGGGAGCCTGGTTCCTTCCTCCTCGCTTCCAGCCTTCCCTGTCGGAGGCTGTGGCAAAAGCTCTGTTGTTTTTTCTGTTGTTTGCCTGTCCCTGCACCCTTCAGCAATAATATTCTTCAGTAATCTCTCCACTGGTTCTCCGATGGGCCTGTTTATATTCCTGTATCTTCTGCTGCTTTTGGGCAGCTGCTGAGTCAGTGATTCTTTTTTCCAGCTGCCTTAAGAGATGACATTTCTGTACAGCAGTTCACCTCTAAGACTATCTGAATTCTTAATCTCATGCCTGAAAACACCAGCATGCTGCTGCCACGGAGGTGGTTGAAGCCTTAAAACGGGCATCACTGCAGCATCGTTAGAAACTCTCCGCAGCACCCTCGTGGCTCCCCAGCAGCCCGGCGGACGAGCGCTGCTGTTTTGGGGAGCAGCAGCAGTTCAGCCCACTCAACAGGTCGTGTGTGTTCTGCTTCGGGGTGAGCTTTCTCCCCGGTCTGTCTCTGTTCGCTTTCCCTCGAAGCTGGTGGTGGGGGCTGAGGGGAGCGGGTGGCTTTGCACATGCAGCAAACCCTGCCAGCGAGCTGCTGCTGGCGGCCGCTGCCGTCTTCTAGCACAGGCTGCAAACCCCTGGGTTTGCGTGTTTTAGAGATGGGAAGCAGGTGCTGGGAGGATTTGCAGGCATTAATCAAACTGGCTGAGCGCTGGGTAACCTGTCCAGTGATACGCCCGTGTTCCCCTGTGACAGTAAAAGCTGGCAACGGGCCTTTGCATCCATGGGAAGTGCAATTTTTCTCTAAGATACCCATCTCTGCATCCCTATTTCGCTGTAAATTATTAATGGAGCCAAACCCTATCTTTGTTGATCCTCCTGCTACTGATTGAGGTAGACCTCTGTCTGAAATAGGAATCGTGCAGCAAGGCAGCTACTTTAGTGAAAACTGAATAACGAACACGTTTTTTGCATTGAAAGAATCAGTAGCTTAGAAGTTAAGAGTGACATTCTGCTTTACAATCATTCCTTGCCTTTTTCCCTTGAATGACAATTTGGAGGTGTTGAGGTTTGGGGGGGTATGAAGTTCTATCTACCTAATCATGTCTAGTTGCTTGGTTTTTAATAATAAATATCCATATAAAAGTGCATAAGATGATCATCCATGTTTAATAGCAATTTAAAAAACAAACTCATCAGATGATTTATCTAAGTGATGCATATTGGATGTTTTTGAGATACAAGTTGACTGTTTGAAAAAACTAAGTTGTTTTATTTCACTAGAAAATGTAACAGTTACTTATTGGGCTTAATTATTCCATATGTTAATGTATTGTTGCTCTTGCAGCTGCTGGCAGAGAATGGCTCCTTTCAGGCAATGGCATGCATGCTAATGAACCCCAAAGTTTGTTTTTCTGGCTTTTACACTTGTGCTGCCACTCCAGCTGTTTGTGGCCTTGGATAACTACAGCAGAGAACCCCATATTTAGTGGAAACAAAATCTATTGATGACAAACAAGTTCCCCATTAAAAGTCATAAGGACTGATCTGAATTCAGCATGTGCTGTGAATGCAACCATGGAGAGTTGTTAGAGAAATCAGATGTGCCTTTAAAAGGCATGGGAGAAACGATCCAGACAGTTGATTTAATTTTTTAGCTATTGTAATTGAAAATGCCTGCAGGAGGTAAAGCTCTTCTTTCTTCTTCCACCCAAGATCCTTACAGCTCCAGGAAAGTTGGACATGAGTTATCCCTACGGTATCTCTCTTGAGGCTGCATCTTTTTCTTACAGACACAAGCCTTGTCTGTAACACTTTGTTCAGATCTCAATTTCTGCTCCATTTATGACCCCATCATTGTGCCCAATATCTGCTTAAGAGGCCATTTCTGCTTTATTTCCATGCTTTTGTGTTATTTGAAGCAGAGCTGCCAGTACATGCATTGCCCTCGATATCAGGAGGGTGTACGTGAGATGTGTCTTCCTTTTCCCCCCTGCACCAAAGCCTGTGGCTCCGTGGTTCTGCACCGCTACCAGGACTCCGGCTTTGGGCCGTGGCCTTACACACACTCCAGCTCGTTTGTTCTGGATACGGCGTTTGTGCTGTATTGCCTCATTTCATGGCTGCTGGCCTTTAAAACAAAGTACAAAATAAATAATAAAGAGAAAAAAAAAAAAAAGGGGGGGGGGGGGGAGGGGGGTGCAGGGGGGGCAGGAAGAGAGAGAGCAAACAAGCCAGGCTCTGTTCCTGCTGCTTTCCAAACCCTGTTCAGACCTCGCGCATCACGCACAGCTCTTCAGAGGTATGTAATTATCTGGCAAAGCCATGTACTTTGCTATCCCCTCTCTCTTCTGAGAGAAAGCTGCTGAGCCTATGTACTTTTTGATAATAACAGTAATAAAATAAGACTTTAAAGGAAAAGATGCCGTTCCCATGCAGAGTATGCTTGTTTGGGCAGTTTGATGTCCTATTTTTATTATAAATATAATTGAATTTCCAATAGTTACACGCAAACAACTGTTGTTTGGGGATAAAAAGAAGTAGACACATGCTAATCGAAAGCTCTGATAATTACACAATCTTCAAATTAATTAACAAGCCAAAGGCAGCCAAACATTAGCATTTAGAAAGCGCTTTGCTGCATCAACCACTAATGAGTTCATTTAAATCTATCATGCAACCCATTTTGGAAAGCATGAGCCATATTTAATCATATTCAATCAGATTTAATAATGAAATCCTTAACACCAGGCATTGTCGATTGTGAAATTACCATAGAATTTTATTTGTTAAATACAGGGGATAAGATACTGGTATTTATTTTTAGCTGAATTGTATCTTGAGAGAAATGAGGAAATAAAAGATACACATGTCCAGGTAAGTATATATTTAAAAGAAGTGAGAAGTGGCAAAGGATTTTTTGTGCATTTTTTTTTTTCATTTGTTGTTTTTCTTTTCATTAAATTAAAAGAATTTATGTTACTTTTGAGGAATGAACCAGTAATTTCCCTAATATACTTGGGAATTCTATGATAAAAGAAAATATTTTTGCTTAAATTATTTGCTGTTTTCAGCCTAGGCAATTGTGGTGCTGCGGTTCATTGGCACAGCTCTGGTCTCCACTTTGTTCCTTTAGAGCTGAAATAACACAAAAGAAGTCACAAGAGCTTCTCTGCATTTAAATCAGAGTAACTGGGGTGAAACCTCCATCCATTGCCTTTTCACAGACAGTCTAATTTCTGGTCCCATTGAAAGCATCGTGTGCTTTGTCATTGGACTTAATAGAGCAGATAAATCACCATCAGTTCAGAAACAAAACTTCTTCCACAAAAGTCAGTGGAGTTACTAAACTCAAGATATTCTTTTGGATAAAATCTTTCTCTACAAAGTGTTTTGTTGAATATTTCAGCTGGATAGAGCTGTTTCAATGGAAAATTTCAATCCAACAGTTTCTTGCTTTCGAGGCTACACTGGCACATGCAACAGGCCAACGTTAGGTTGCCCACTTGGAATGTGGCAGACTGTGGTGAGGACACCAGGGCTCAGTTTTGTTCCCGTATCTTGAATTTTCATAGTGGTTATTTGGTTCCCAGAACAAGGAAGGACACTGGAGATCAGCACTGGCCTCCCAGGACTGCACTAGTGCAGTTCAGTCCTTGTACGGTACCACTGGTGATAAAGTTCTCATAAGAGTAACAAGGAAGGCTTATAATGCTAAAAAATATGGGACTCTCCAAGGGGTTTGTTCATATCCTTGTCCTTGGGGACAAGTTTATTAGAAATAGAAGAACAAGAGGTAGAGATTAGAACAATATATGGCAAGACTTATCTGCTCAGCTCTCTGCAGGTATGGGAGAGAACACCTGATGCTCCTTCCAGCTCCCTCTAAGCTCCCCTTTGGGACTTCTGCACGACGACTGCAGTGGTGCCCCTCTGAGACCTCTGCTGACTGCCACGTGATGTCTCTTCAGGAGATTGTTATTGCTTGTCTGCCCTGTGCTGGAAGAGAAGGATGTAGGAGCATGTACACAGAAGGTCAGATTTTCTTTTTTTTTTTTTTTTTTTTTAATTGAAAAAAAAAAAAAAAAAGAGCTGGAAGGATTTATCAGAAATAGAGAGGTTTTCAGTCTTTGGGTCTTGGAGTGTAGGTGGTTTCATTTTCTTTCTAAAAAGTTGGATAGTTCCAGAAAAAAAGTAATTCTCTCCCTAAATAAAAAGGGCTTATTTGAAAACTCTTTTAGGAACAACTAAATTCCTATTTAATGTCCTCGTAAACATCTCTGTTCTACCTCTTATCCAGTGTTGTTTGTTAATTCAAATTCAGCTTCCCATTTTTGTGACTGAGGTCAGAGAGCAAGGGATTAATTCATTAACCACCCATAAACACCAATAAAAGTACTCTTAACAGTGCATTTCACCCGAATATCTCAGAGAACCTTGCCAGCAGTAAAAAGCCCTAGACTGAGCGTGCAGGTGAGGGGGTTAAATGCCAAAATATCACCCTTTTATCTGAACACGCCTTGACACACTTCACAATAATTTCTTATCAACATTATTACACATTCAGTGGATGAGGGTATCGGAGTGACTCACTTTGGGGACAGCACATTATGTCTGTCCCACAGCTCAGAAGAAACCCAGGAATCCCAATTCCCAATCTCTTGGTGTAATTACAAAACCTTTCTTAGTGAAATGCTAGTTGTCGGAGTTGCTCCTTTGCATCCTAATGCATAAATATCCACCAGTTAATAGCAGTATAATGGAATAAATTTACCAGGTCTCCTGAAAATACACTGACTAAAACATTTGATTAGGACTAGTTTAAGACTTCAGAGGATGTCTTTAGCTGCTAGTAAAGATAAAAGCATTCATAAAAATTAAGTGACTCTCTGAAGCTGTATTCTTAAGCTTTTAAATGCCTTAAAATGTAATTTCTATATTTACACCAGCACATTCCCTCTAATTATCAAGTACTTTTTGGTACAGCACACTTTACAGCTAACAGGGCAAAGTTTCAGGGCGTTGTGTTTTCGCAAGTTGAAAGCCATTAACATTTTATAACTTCTTCACAATGGGAAAATTGCACTGGTAGAAGGAATGATTTTCTGTGAGTATAGTTAAACCTGTGCCAGCCAATCTGTGGGTGTTCATTTTTCATTAAAGAACTGTTTATTCTCCCTTAATTTAAATCAATTGAGAATGCATTCATGTTGAACTAAATGCAGTCCCTTGAATCCAAAATGCATACATCCCTATAACTATTTGTACTGCCTAAAGTTTATTGTTTCTGAGACTGAAGTAAAGCAGATTGATGCAGTCACCCAACGCAGACAAAGCCTTAGTCAGAAACACCACGATCACTTCTGGCTACCCAAATACCGGTGCCGTTCCCAGCCTGATCTTGTACCCTGTTGCTTAAAACAGCTCCAGAACATTGGGCTTCCCTGACAGGGAGGGTGTGGGGTCCTGCTCCAGGTGTTTCCCTTTCCCTCTCTGCAGATGTTGAGCTATGCCAGGGTATGTGTGGAGCCAGCCTGAGATGTGTAATGTATGCAGAGGAAAAGACACCACGAATTTAATTCTACGGCTCCAAGGAATGTTCTCGTATTTTCAAGAAAGTTTATTTTAAGGGATGTGTGAGACAACCTCACAAGATGCTCATACAGCAGGCAGCGTGTGTCAAGCTGTGATCAGGAAATATCCTGCTCACTTGAAATAACTTTTAAGAGTATGACTACCAAATTAGATAGCCCACTAAACATTTATTCCTTTTGCAAGGTTTCTCTCTCGCATTTTCCTCTGAAGGGATGATGGGAAAATTGCAGGTCTGCTAAGCTGAAGCAGGGAGAACTAACCTTCTTTTATTTCTAAATCAAGGCAGTTTTTCCCTCTTGAGACAAATGACAGAGCAAGAGGATGTGACCAGTGACACCTGAGTATTCATGACTGCTTCTGATCTTAATTCCCTTATTAACCTGATCCCATAAAATAAATTAGGCATCAAAATGCCAACAGACGTGAGTAGAGCAAAAACTCCACAGAGTTACACCCTGAAAGATCCCTTTGTATGCTATTTACTTTTCCAGATGTTTTCTAATCCACTGCTAGCTGACAAAGCTTGTTAGCCAATTCTTGCAGGTAACTATCATAAATACTCACTAAGCTGTTACCTGCACCTACTGTGAGGTTGCGCTATTATTAAATTTTGTATTTTCCTGTGGAAAATTAGCAAAACCAGTCCTCAAACTGGTCCAGCCTAGCAAAATCCCAGTCCTCTGCCCTCCTTTCCATGGGACTGGCCAGGGTGGCACAGACCTGCTGGGCACGGGGATCCCAGCTCTGCAGGAGCATCCCGCTGTGTGCTGCTGACCCGCGCTCCCGCGGCTTCGGCCAGCGCTGCAGGGGTTTGCTGGAATGTGCCCTTATTGACTGTGTTACATTTTCCTTGTGGAAATGTAATTGGGGGCTGGCGTTGGCAGCTGTGTCGAGCACCAGATGTTATCCGTGTGGAGCAGGTTTCTGGCGTGCTGGGTCACTATGATGCTGACTACAGAGGGAAAATGATAAACTCCTGCAGCTGCAGAAGGGCACTGGTGGGGAGCCTGGGAAAGCTGGAGATTTCCCTCACATCTTGCTATGTGATGGGGGTGAGTAGTACACAAGAAATCTTCACCTGATTCTGATGTTCCCAGATCTACACACTTATGTTTTGGCTCTCACCTGTTTGAGCAATGCTCTTCAGCTAAGAGTGTAATTTGGTCCTCGGGGTGGTTCATTAAGACAGGATTCATAGTGCATCACAACCCTGTTCCCATCTGAGATGCCCTTAACATTCAGGCTGCTCCCATGAACAGAGTGGGGCTCATGGATTGAGCTCAGGGTGATCTGGGCTCTGGTTACGTCTGCAACGTGTTAAATCAACCTGGGTAAACTTGGTGATATCTAGCAATATGGGGCCAAAATCCATTACAGCCCTATTGCAAGAGTCAAAATATCAGAGAAAACATTCTGTGGTATTGTCATCTTGCAGTATGAGTGCTGACTCTTGTGCCCCAATATACAGTCATGTGTGAAATGGGAGAGTTGAAGTCCCTTGCTCAGAAGTGAAAAACCCGCGTGTCTTCAAACGCCAGAACTTTGAAGGTGTTTGAAATCCAAATCAGGAGTTTAGTAGCTTAAACCTCATCCCTAATTGAAATAAGTGAGAATGCCTATATTCTTTGCTAGTTTTGGTGTCATAAATATCTCCATTAAGTAGCAATTAAGCTGCTGGGATTTGGGCTGTATGCCATTATAAAAGGTAATTATAAAAGAATTGGATTAATTAGTTGCTGAATTATTTATGTAGACATAAATATTGCACATGAGATCAGTGTTAAACAGGATACTAGCATGAAGAGAGGAAGGGAATGATACATTGATTTATGCTATTTCTTTAGTTCTTCCTCCTAAAATACCAGAAAAGTTGAAGTTTGTTAAAAACTAACTATTCCCACTGTTAATGTGCATGCACCACCTTATCAGCTTTTATAGAAATATACTCCCCTGATAAAGCCATTCTTTGTGCTTTTGTAATCTCTACAAGTCACCACAAATAATAAGCATTGAGAGTTCTCTCTTGTCAATACAATGAAGTCAATCTTCTGTCTGTTGCAGTATAATTTAGAGCTAAGGGAAATGACTGATTTCACAGATATTAACTTTATCGAATATACAAACAACAGATATATTATAGGGGAAAGAAATTTTGTGCAAGCAGCACAAAGAACTCCAGCAATCAGCAAATTCAATCTGCTTTTGACACTACAGCATTTCCATAGTCTAACGGTTCTTGTCAGCTGTAAAAATAATATAATACAAAGATGTGGCAAAGTGAAAACAAGGCAGGCTATTTAGTATGCAAACAGCCAAGAACCTTAAACAGGAGTTATTTATGAAAACAAAAAATATGGCTTGAAATAAAATTGTCATCTCTAAATTTATCTATTTTCGTGTTTCAGGGCACAACTTGATGGGGTCAGGGAGAAATTTCCTGAAGAGTAAAATATGGTGTTGGAGTGGGGAAAGGCCACACTGCTCCTCAGGGAGTAGACCAGGCACTGGGGAAAATGTGCCTGGACCTTTGTGGTCCTTCCTGAGACCACCCCAGGGTGACCAGACTGGCCAGTGGGATTAGTTACCTGGTATAAATATATTAACTGCATTTTTAATGGATCACTCTTTTGCCATATTTCTGTAAGATAGATGGAGAAACCTCCTAACACCGCAGCAGCGGGTTTGGACAGGGGAGGTGGCGCATGCACTGGCTGGTGCCCCGGGGAAACCTGCAGCCAGGGAAGATGGAAAGCCAAGTGTCAGAGAGGGGACCCTTCCCTTGACAAAATGGTCTCCAGCGTCAGGCGGGGAACTCGTGTGATGTGTGCAGGGAGCCAGGCTGCCTGCAGACAGGCGGGCGAGCAGTTTGGTGGAAATTAAAATTTTCTCTCAGTTTTCTGAGCCCGTGTTGCCCTCGCTGCTTTTGGGAGCTGTAAACAGCTCGTCTCTGAGTGTATTTGAAGTTTAGCACATTTCTTAAATGCTGGACATGAACTGTGGTAGATGGGGAGAGGTTTTTTGTGTTCTCGGGAAGAAAAGAATTGGGGGGAATATTTTGGGCCATGACCCACAACATCAAAAAACAGATTTTTCAGCCCTTTCATGGGAGCTGAAATACTTGAAAATGAAATGTGAAAGGAAGGTGTGACCTGGAATAGCAGCCTGAAATTTCTTCGGTAGCAGTAAGCATAGAAAGAAATGAAAAACTAACAGCTTCTGACAGACCCAGTTTTTCAGCTTGATTTACAATGCTGTTAATGTGCAATAAATCACCCACTCCTAATTACAAATTAGCACAGTCTGAGTGGTTTGGTACAGATCTAGAAGTCAAGACTGAAGTGACCGGTCTCAGCCATATGTGCACTTGATGATTCCACAGAGATGGTAATCATTATTTTCTGGGCTCTTACTTCTGATGGCTATAATTTTCTTTTGAGCTG